GTGTATGTAGGAGAGGGTATTCAAATTTCAGGCTACTTTTATGTCTACCCTAGCATTTGCTTTCCACTGGGATTTTCTTGTGTCTTCTGAGTGCTTGCACACATCCCTATGATTGTCCAGGACTTTATGAATTGCTTAGTCCCTTTTTGTCTCTGCTGCCCTGTTATGAAGACATAGCCATAAATATGCTTACTGCTATAACCTAAGATCATTCTCCTTACTGGAATAACCAAAAGTATCTCTGGATATGTCAGCTGCCCGCTACTCAAAATTAAATAAACCCCTTTCAACATTTGCAGTGCAGTGGCTGATCCACATAGCCTGCTCTGTTTTGGTAGACCCTCCATATCAACCAAGCCATGGGAGTGATATGGGACTATCATTAAGCAAGAACATCATAGAATCCCATTGCTCTTACCCAGAGTTCAACAGTTTTTCAAGCATAACTGATTGTCAGATTAACATAGGCTGCTGGTCAATTTCCAGAATGCTAAAATGGTTGTTTTACTCAATTTTATGTAGCCTTATAGTTGTTCTTTGGGGAGGGAATTAGCTGACCTCTTTATTCAGCAATAGTCTGAAGTGCCACCCCCTCAGGGAAATTTTATGTTGATTCCCAAACCAGATAAGAATAATTAGCAAGGGGAAAGTATAGACTCATTTTACTTACAAAAATAGTTTCAAATTTTCTAAATAATAACTATACAAATTCAACAGTGTATTAAAAAATTCATTATGATTAAGTATAATTTACCCTAAGAAAATAATAATGATTTAACATTTAGCATGGTTATAAAAAATGTATTACGTTAATAGACTGAAAGATAAAAATTGTAAAATTATTTCAATAGTTGCAGAGAAGGCATGTGATAATGATCAAAACATATTCAGAAGAATAAAAACAGAAAGGAACTTCCTACACTTGCTAAAGTTTATAGAAAAAACACCCATGGTAAACAATGTACTTAATGGAGAAACTTTAGCTATATTGCATTTAATATAGGCAGAGAAAGGGCAGATTGAAGTTCATTATCATTGCTACTGTTGAACTACTGTATTGAACTCTAGATCCTCACCAATGATATAAGGAAAAAAAAAAGAAATAAAGAAGTGACAAGATTGAAAAGGAAGTTATAAAGCTTCTATTATTTGCAGATGATGTGATCAACTTCCAAGAAAAAGACAACAGAATTAAAAGATAAATTATAAGAATTAACAAGATATAAAGGTTTTTAACAGAAGATAAACCTATAGAAATCAACAGAATTTGTTTATGCCAACAATAATCAGATATAAATACCATAAACAACAAAATACCACTCAAAAGAGCAATAAAATTACAAATTTTCTAGGTATTGGCAAAAAATACCTGTGGAGAATATTTTATAGATTTCATAAGATACACAAAAATTATATGAATTAATAAGATATTCTATGCCTTTGACTTGGTCAAGTTACTATTGTAAAAAGTCAACTTTACCCAAATTAATTTATAAATTCTCTGTAGCCTTTACCACATTGAGTTCTCAAACTCAAGTTGGATTTTTTATAAACTTAGTAAATTTTTTATTTCAAATATATATGTGGAAAAATATATATCTGTGCATAGGTAAGTCAACATTGAGAAAGTGAGCTAAGAAACAGGACTTGTCTTATTAAAGAAATGAACAATATGAACAAAAAAGGGAACTTAGAAACACATACATGCACATCTATGAATTTAATATCCTACCAAGTTGGCAACTTAAATCAATGAGAAACATTGAATGAATGAATTGATCAATTAAAAAACAAAAGTTTCTACATAGGCCAAAGATGTTAGTGATTAGAAATTATGGAGGATTTCAGAAAACTTGGGTGGTTGGAATGGAAATCATGAAAAGGAGTCAAATTGGAATATACGTTGGATGCAAAACCAAGACTTGTTGATGGACTGCATATCGGAGTCATAAGGTTAAAGAATGACATACATAGTAATGAAGAATAAATTGATGATGCAAGAGAGAGAGGATGTCTATAGGAGGAAACTTCTTGAACAAAGCATCTTATTCTGAGAGTAAGAAGCAGGGTTAATTTTCTTTTTATTAACATCTTTATTAGAGTATAATTGCTTTACAATGGTGTGTTGGTTTCTGCTTTACAACAAAGTGAATCAGCTATACATATACATATATCCCCACATCTCCTTCCTCTTGAGTCTCCCTCCCACCTTCCCTATCCCACCCCTCTAAGTGGTCAGAAAGCACTGAGCTGATCTCCCTGTGCTATGCGGCTGCTTCCCACTAGCTATCTATTTTACATTTGGTAGTATATATAAGTCCATGCCACTCTCTCACTTCATCCCAGCTTACCCTTCCCCCTCCCTGTGTCCTCAAGTCCATTCTCTACATCTGCATCTTTATTCCTGTTCTGACCCTAGGTTCATCAGAACCATTTTTTTCTTAGATTCCATATATATGTGTTAGCATACGGTATTTGTTTTTCTCTTTCTGACTTACTTCACTCTGTATGACAGACTCTAGGTCCATCCACCTCACTACAAATAACTCAATTTCGTTTCTTTTTATGGCTGAGTAATATTCCATTGTATATATATATGCCACATCTTCTTTATCCATTCAGCTGTCGACGGACACTTAGGTTGCTTCCATGTCCTGGCTATTGTAAAGAGAGCTGCAATGAACACTGTGGTACATGACTCTTTTTGAATTATGGCTTTCTCAGGGTATATGCCCAGTAGTGTGATTGCTGGGTCATATGGTAGTTCTATTTTTAGTTTTTTAAGGAAACGCCATACTGTTCTCCATAGTGGCTGTATCAATTTACATTCCTACCAACAGTGCAAGAGGATACAAGATGAAAAGACAACCCTCAGAATGGGAGAAAACATTTGCAAATGAAGCAACTGACAAAGGATTAATCTCCAAAATTTATAAGCAGTTCACTCAGCTCAATATCTAAAAAACAAACAACCCAATCCAAAAATGGGCAGAAGACCAAATAGACATTTCTCCAAAGAAGATATACAGATTGCCAACAAACACATGAAAGAATGTTCAGAATCACTAATCATTAGAGAAATGCAAATCAAAACTACAATGAGAAAAAAAAAAAAGATACAATGAGGTATCACCTCACACCAATCAGGATGGCCATAATCAAAAAATCTACAAACAATAAATGCTAGAGAGGGTGTGGAGAAAAGGGTTAATTTTTGATGGGAAAAATCTAAGCAGAGAAAGTAGATTGTTTTCTTTTACAGTTAAGAGGAAAATAACAACAATAAAAATATACTATAATTGCATTAATCTATTCACACACAGACAAGTAAACATCTAGACAGAAATTACTTGAAGGCAAACAGCCAAATATTAACTGCCTTAATTTATAAGTAAATAATTTCCTAAGTAGCAAAACATGTAACCATAGGAACTTTATCTAGAGGTCAAAATTATAATTCAGGCATAAAATGGTAACAGAGAAGTATAATGTCTTAATATTCTATAATTTTATTTCTTAAAAATCCTATTTCATTAAAATTCAGTAAATGTGTGTCTACATATGAAAACGTACCACTAGTAGTGTTTTAAAATAGTAAGTTTAAAAATGATGTGTGTGTGTGTGTGTGTGTGTGTATGTATTTGGGGGAGTTTTGTTTGTCACTCTCTTGTATTTTATATTTTTAAACACCAATGATATATCAGTTTTTCATGAAGAAAAAAGAGGAGGAGGAAGAGAATGGATTTTATAGCATAAGCCTCTCTCTAAATGTCACAAAGAAAGGCAGATTTGAAAAGTATCAGTAAAGTTTTCTTACCCTCACAGATTTGGGGGGAACATAGAAGCAGCTCCCTTTTGCTCAAAGAGTTTGTAGTTATTGACCAATTGTGTGGTGACTATGTTATTGTTTTAAAAGTGAGACTGGTTGAGCCCGGGCAAAGATTTGGTTGACTCGGTCTATTGCAGAGGCTGAGGTGCTCAGACAGTCCTGAGTAACACCGACAAGGAGGATGGTAGCTTGGTTAGACCAGGGATATTAATGTAATTTGGGTGTGCCTTCCCTGACTGATCATTTTAGTTATGTGTCAGAGGCAGGAGAGGAGGAAGAGAAAGAAGATATTGGAGAAGAAGCTACATAGGAGACCTGGAATAATATGAGTAGTTGTCAGAATACCTGGCAATAGCCCCAGCTTTGTCAATAACTTATTGTAAGACATTGTAGACAGAGATTTCACCAAGTCTGGGCCTAAAACTTTTATTTTTTTGTATAAATAAGAATTTTTGTATAATAAAAAATTATTTATAAAGGGAAATGGTTATGTGTTGGGTTGCATCTGTATAGTTTCTTTCATTTTAATTAAAAAAATTTTTTACCACAGAACAGTTTTCTCCAACAAACATTAGCCTGAATCCCAATTTGCAAAATAGATATAAATAAGCAAGTCTACTTGAATTAGGGGAAATCTCCAAGTATTAGAAAATATGTTCAGTCAGAAGAGAAAGAGGAAAAGAGAAAGGAAATAAAATGAGTCAAATGTCTGCTAACACATGTTAAACATTGTAGCTGGCTTTTAAAACTCAGTTTCTCATTTGATCCACACTCCATTTCACAGGTGAAAAAACTGAGACCCAGATATACATACATTGTCCAAATTGAGACTTGAACTTAGTTCTACAGTCCCGTAAATTCTCTTGTTGGAGCTAAGACAGGACAGTAGAAATGAGAAATGGCCATGGAAGGCAGACATCACACTGGCTTATACCGCCTCTTAGCATCTGTCAGTGCCCCAGATGTTTTCAGAGAGTTGGGTCATGGGTTGGACCTATGGACAAGCTGTACCAGATATTTAGCCTACCCCTGGACTACGCCATGTTCCCTCCCTTCTAAGTAGCTGGCCTCACAACAGGTATGACCTAGTAATTAAGAAATAAAGAGATCTGAATAGAGTTGAACATAATCTCTAAAGCAAATATGACAAGTTGACTCCAAATAGTCTCACCTTTGCTGGGGCAGTAGCCCTGGCTCTTGCTAAATGCCTGGCCCTTCTCTGGGATTTTGCTTCTTTTTCTCTGGAAGATAGCAAAGAATAGAACAGCTCAGATATGCTTGACCAATTTTAGGTCTAACATCATATACATGGTAAACTTAATTTTGGCTATTCTTCTCAGCTTAATCCAGCTTGTCAGAAGTGGAGGTATGTCTGGTAATCACAGGGACTGTAAATCTCTCCTCAGTGCTGAAATATATCTCAAATGTGGTTCTATTAAAGGCAAGAATCTTTACTGTTAACTGTATAACAGATTACCCACCTTAAATACTTCCATCATCCAGGTGGTCACCAACTCTAAAAGCCATTTATATCATTTTTGGAATACTCTCTTTGAAAGACCATATTCAGATTGATCCAATCTACCCACCTGTCTTGGTCTGAGGTTCCAATCTCTAAGGACCCACAGAGCAAATTCAGCAATTTAAAGATAACTTTAATGCCTCATACAGTCTCCTCCTTTCCAGGTTAAGAAGCCAAGTTTATCCCAACATAATTTACATAAGTAATAAAGATAATAATTGCGTGAGTGACTTCAAAGTGATAAATAACCCGCCTTGTATGTCTAAAGGCATTTAATTTTTATTTTAAATTATTTTCCAATAAATTTATTCTATTTATAGTTTCAGTCTCCTAACAAAACATCTTATGTAACAAGGAGGAATCTCTTTAGTAAATATTACACCTGCTGGTTTACATTCATCTTTCAAGAGACTAAGAAAGGATTGTTCAACTTACCCTGGGAGTCCTCCCTCCCTAAATTTTGCCCTGCCTTCCTTCATCTTCCTACAGTGTCTTCATCAGTAGCAGCACATGTGATCAGAGCTTTGTTATCCCAATATTAATGACTATGTCAGATTAAATCCCTTGACACATTACCAACTTGGCATTTTAAAAGCTGATTATAATATAATTATCTTCAGTGGGTAAGTTTTGTATTGGCTTGGTACCAGAGTTGAAGTTTTTTTTGTTTTGTTTTGTTTTGTTTTGTTTGCGGTACGCGGGCCTCTCACTGTTGTGGCCTCTCCCGTTGTGGAGCACAGGCTCCGGACGCGCAGGCTCAGTGGCCATGGCTCACGGGCCTAGCCACTCCACGGCATGTGGGATCTTCCTGGACCGGGGCACGAACCCGTGTCCCCTGCATCGGCAGGCGGACTCTCAACCACTGTGCCACCAGGGAAGCCCCCAGAGTTGAAGTTTTTTTTTGTTTTTTTTTTTCAGAGTTGAAGTTTTGATGGTGGTCAGAAACCGAGAATGAATTCCCTGTTCAAAACCAAATTCGGTCCCTTTGATTTGAGGACTTGCAACTGATAACTCAAGCCTTTACCACCTATGGAGTGTCACTGGAGAGAAGGAAATAGTTAAGAAGCATTGCAAAGATGTCAGTAAACCTCCGGGATATTAATTCTTTCTGAGTTGTGGGGAGTTGGAAGCCACAGTCAATCCTAGAGTCCACCTCATGCTAGCATAATCCTAGATGTCTGAAGACACTGGCAGCTCACAGAGTCAGGGTGTATCCTGATTCTCCTGGTTGGCTCTCACAAGAAGAGTCTGGCATCATTCTCAGGGGTACAACAGAGTCACGTCTTAACAGCCTCAAGAATTCTTTTCTCCCAGGGTCAGAAAACTCAACTTGGAAGTACATCCTCAAAAAACTATTAAGTGCTGCATGAGGTATTGATACCAGGCCCTCTGGGATATTTTGTAATACCATGAGTGATTATTAAAATCTTTCCGAGTGGGTGGCATTTATCCAACTTTACTTGATGGTAGGTATCACAGTGATCTGCTAAGCATTTTTATTTACCCACTTAGATTTAGAAAAATATATTTGACAGAAAATAAAAATAATACATTTAGTAGTTCAGAGAATAACTGGTAACTCAAAACACTTGAAAGAAAGATTTAACTTTACTCACAGTATCATTTTGCATGTGGTACATTTGTTGATGAACACTATTCCATCAGAGCTTTGAAAAAGGTTTTCATCTTGGGAACAGAACAGTTTTCCATTTGTCATCAGTGCCCTATATTCACTGCATGTTTCCTTAGGAAAATATGAAAAAAGTGCTTACAGAAATCTCATCAAAGCAAGACTTTACCTTCTAAGAACAATATTATTTCATGACCACCACCCCCTTTGTATGGAAGACATTCACTCAGTTGATACAGATAATACAAATAAAAGTAATGAATCTGGATTGTCTGTTGGAGATTGAAAATTCACCTAAAAGCATTCATCTAAAATCATTAGTGAAATGGAAAGAACAAGGGACTTGGAGTCAAAAGATCTGAGCTTATCTTCCAGGGTTCTCATTTACAAGCCCAATAGCCATAGCAAATGAACTTCTCAAAGGCTCATTTACTCTATCTGTAAAAACAGAGGATATAAGTATATGTGTTTCATAAGTTTCGTGTAGATTAAATATCATAAGCATGTAAATCCCTCAAAGAGTGCCTGATACATAGCAGATATTCAATAATTAGATTCTCTACCTCTCCTCTTCCTCCTGCTTTATTATTATAGTTGTTGTTGCTATTGCCATTATTGGAATATGCTAAGATGATGCATATAAAATACCTAGCACACAGTTCAATAATATTGGCCATTAAAAGGTATATGAAAATGTTGCAATTCATTTGATGAAGGCCTGCTATATGTCACTCACTTTTTTTCTAGGAGCTTAATATTAATGGTGCCTTTGCACTACCTAGTAAAGTACTGATTTAAAATGTTATACTACCTATTAGTTTAAGAAATCCACTGGTCCTTTAAAGCCTTTGTAATCTATGTTTTCTTCTTTTTTTCTTTAGGTGTTTTGTTTTGTTTTGACTTTGCAAATACAAAGCATAAAGATCCTTGTACCAGAAAAAATAAGTAAATCAATCAAGCCTTTGCTAAGACTCTGACATATGCAACCTCTTCCAAAGGACAGATTATAGAATTCTATTCAGCCTCCTATATCTTTATAATAATCATTCAGTTAATCAACAAACACTTATTATGAGGATACTATCCTTTCCTGGGTGGCATGGATACAGCAATAAATAAGGCAGGAAGGATCCTTGCCTAAATGGTGCTTACCATCTAATGGATAGTGATATAACTAACCTAGCATTCTATAAACAGGAGGCAGTCGGTAGCACTTGCAGAATGAATGATTAATGGTGAAGAATAATTTTAGAGACCAGCCCTAGGAAATTTCGCTAAGGGTGACCTACTAAAACATCTCTAAGATTATTATCACCACCCAGTGATCTTATCTGAGTAGCAGAGCAATAATTTCTGGCAACAGACTGACAACTGGGCCTCTTGAGATCCGTGTCTGGTCTCTGATTCTATAGTATCTTATGCCAGTACTGCAAGTTACTGCTTAGCTGGCTGGATATAACTGATTCTATAAAGTCTAGATAAAAACATTGTCATAGAATCAGAGAACAGCCTGGTGACTCTGTAATAGAAATATATCCCTTGTGAGGTAGGTCTTAAAGAAAGTGCTGAAAACAAAGATTCATGCTAACACTAGAATGAAGCTTTAAATAGTTTTTAGTGGTCAACTGAAAAAGAACATTACCAATCAAGATAATTCCTGAATTGGACTTCTCCTATGTCATAATTAGAAAAACACCTAAATCCTAGAAAGACACACTTTTATTTTTATATGAATGGACAACTGAGTCCCAGAGAACAGGTAAGAAATTTGTTCACAGTTTGTAATTAGTAAAGATGGAACTCGATGCTATTTTTCTGAGTTATGAGGTTATCCAGTGTATTCTTTTGGGAAATAGGAAAAGGCCATAAAAATTGAAATCAGCAGTTGTGTTTTTCTCTGGGAAAAATGAAATAGCCTCCCAATGACCATAATAGAGCGGGCTGAAACAGGAACAGGTCTGGACCATAAAGGAATCCTGAGTTGGTGAGATGACTTCTCAGCAACCGATTACTTGCAATCTAACTTCCAGTCTTTGGCTCATTTTTGTTTTGTTTTGTTTGTTATAGTTGCTTTTTGTGTTTTCTCCACTTGTCTCAGAGAAACTGGAGCCCTGTAGGGCCAAGCTCTTTCTGTTTTCCTTCACTGGCTGTGATATTGCCCAGTGTTTTCCATTTTTCCTCCCCAGGCATCATCATAAACCCCTCAGGAGCTGGCATCACCCCTGCTCTGTGTTAGAGCATTAACAAGGTTGCCATGGCTTCGTAATAACTCTTCTGGGATGACAAATTTAAGCATATGGTAAAGATCCTTGCAGATTACTCCAATGCTTTTCTGTGCTATTCTGGCTCATGTTTGTAAAATTCAAAATGTTTTTATGTTGTACTAGAAAGAACTTGAGCTACTGAACTTGGAAAATAAAATTTCCAGCACTATAAGAAAGACTAAATTAATAGTTTTCATTTCTGACAAAATATCCAAAGACTATGATCAGAAATATTTCCAGATAAATAATTATGTTTTATATTCTTTTTGCTTATGCCAACATGAGAGGTGGCTAAATTTGTTTTTAAAATGTTTTTCAGTGAAATAGAGTTCAATAGTATGAGAAATATCAGTGCAAAATTTGAAATATCCACCGAAACTACTACCCATTATCATAGACACGGAAAAAAGAAAATTATGGCTTCATGCTCAGTAAGATTTACACAATACCCTTCTTTTTCCAGTATGAAATATCCAAATGAGCATGCTCTTCGATTCTCAAAAATCCAGGCTTTTTTTCTACCCTACCATCCCACTCTACTTAGGCAATAGAAGTTTCTGAACCTCTCTTTAATCAGCAAACTTAAATGAAATAATAGAGACTATAATGGAATTCTCTAGAATATTCCTGTAAGTTTCTTTTTTTTAAAAAAAGTAACAATAAAATACAGCAAGAGTAATTTAACCACATTTATAAGAGTTTTGGTGTAGAAAAGAATCTTTTTACTATTTTATTCTTTCAATGTTCGTGGTCTTTGAGAAACAGCAAATATCTGCTACATAAGTAGAAATATTTTCAATCTGAAATAATGGCACAGTTGTGTGTGTGTGTGTGTGTGTGTGTGTGTGCGTGTGTGTATAATTGGCTCTTTCAACATGCCTTTCAAATAGATTAAAAAATGTTTAATTTCTATAGAAAATGATTCCTTCATTTCTCAATCAAAAGATCCCTTAGAGTTGGTGCAGACCCTTCCAGAGTCAGGGCCTCTGCCATCACAGGTGCTTCTGCCTGGTCTGCTGAGAGTTACAAGTAACTTCATGATTCACTCCCACCTCACCTTTAGATCCATGTTCTAATGCTATCTTCTCAGAGAGAACTTACCTGACTATCTCAAGAAGAACTGATACCATCTCCATCCCCAGAAATTCCTGTCTTCCATCCTGCTTTATTTTTCTTCTAGAACTAATCATTATTTAATGTTGTATATATTTTACTAATTTACTTATTAACTTGTTTTCTTCACTAAAACGTAAGCTGCATGACGGCAGTGTTCTTTTTTGTTTTTATATCCCTGTCATCTCAAACAGGATCTGACATACAACAGATGCTCAGTAAATATGTATTGAATGAAATATATACACTGACTATATACAAGACACAGACAGCCCCTTTTTGCATAATGATCACAAGAAAACTTATTTCAGTTTCCTATGTGTATCATGACTTTTCAGCTGTTAAACTGAACAATAGTAATTCACTAGTGTGTTTGTTTATGGAATTTTAAAGCACTCCTTTAGTGTGGTAGATTGCCTCTTGCAGATATCCATTATCATTAAGATGTTGACTGGTGTGTGTGTGTGATTCATGTCTTGATTCATAAAGACCTGTTTCTGTGTTTTTAACAAAAGCTATTAGTACCCATGAGCATAATATATCTGCATTATAATATGAAGGTGTTGGCCACAGAACATTTTTCTTTAGGGATTTTGGAATGAATTCAATGAAGAGCAAAAGCAGGACTAACCTGATTTTCACCTTCACTGGCAGCATCTGGGACTAAAATACAGAAACCAAAGTTAAGGGAATGTAAAACATTTAATAAGTAAAACAATTTACTGAGTGCAGTATCTTGCCTATTTTAATGGCAGTACATTTTAAAACCACAAATTGATTTGAACACATTAAAATTTACCATGGCAAATGAAGTGAGGGCACTGCACCAGGCAGTATATACAGTCACAAAGATCACTCGCTCATAAAGTTCCAATTACTTCGAAAAATAATACTTACTCATATGCTTTCTGACCCCCTCAAAATATCTAATTTCTAAAAGATCCTTTCAGAACAAAGTATTGCAGGCCTCTTTTAAAATTATAACATAGTACACCTATCAAATATATCAATTATAGTTTTAAGGTATAGTGTGGCATAAAGTTTATATCATATATATACATAAAATTAAATTTTCTGAATTCTGGTAGCTCTGCCTCCTTATTATAGCCACAAAAATTAGAGATACGGTAAATATTAAGATTAATTAAAATCACAAACTAATATACTCTCTCATTAACAGACTTTTTTTGTACCTATACACTTTTTTAGGAAAGTGGGCATCATTTGTGTATAATGGTCTCCTCACTCTCCACCTCTGAGGTTTCCTTTTAAAATATGTAAATGCTTCATAGCAGGTTAAGCCTAGGCAATCTTGTGTTCTCTTCAAATTCAAATAGCAAAAGCAAAAACCTACTTCCTAGCTCCCATAGAAGTCCCTTAGCAATTAGATGAAATATTTTCAATCCATTTAGGATTTGAAAACACAAAAATAAAATTTGCTAGAAAGCACTACTGCTTTAAAATAAAAACAGATGACTGATTTTGATTTTTTAATGTTTTATTTACAAATATAGTATTAAAATATACATATTAAGTACATCTAAGTTTTAAATATCTGTTATATACATAATTCATATCAGCATCAATTCAGAGGCTTAATATCCTACATATGTATAATATATATAATTCATATTGTTATTAACTTTTATGTTTGGTGAGGGGAATATGGAGAAGAATCTATTAGCTTTTCAGAATTAATGTTGAATTAATGGAAGGATTTCTGATGGATAAAAATTCAGATTATCTCAAACGACTTGTCATTTCTAAAGATAACATAGCTATCAAACCACATATGTAATTTTTCAAAACTCTATGTCTGGCAAAGGTATTTCAGGGATATATATATACACATACACTGAAGAAGGAGGGAGAGAGACAAGTCCCTGCCCAGAGCTTTAGGATGTGTGGCAAGAGGCTTAGACTACAGGTAAATTGCTCACCTTGTATGAGGCAAAGAGCCAGGGTCAGAAGCATTGGCACTGCAGCTATCTTCATGTTGACGATGATGTAAGTTGCTTACACGACTGCTCCTTGCATTGCTCACCAGCTGGTGCTCTAAGACTGAACCTGTGGAGATGCAGCTCACTTTTATAGTATACTGTGGGTGACACCCACAACAACAGCCGAACTGTAAAACCAGTTGTTCAGGGTCATGCTAAACTTAATATACCACATCAATTTAGTTTCCATCTTTTAGGATCCTGTCAAGGTGGCAGATTTGAACAGATACTATTTCTAAAGTAGTTCTAATGTGTCTTCCTGATACCTCCCCTAGAATGCAACAGATTATGTCCAAGGACCCTACTCAAACTTTAGTACTCCATAATCCTATATCAGAACTGAATTCCTCCCCACCAGACACATTTCCTCGTAGACAAACATGTTTCTAACTCAGCTCCCTTCATAAGTGGGAGGGGAGGGAAAAAGAAGACAGATGGGTTGTTCTACAAGCCAAGTAAAGATTTAAAGATTTCTACATCTGTAGAAAGCTGCGTATAGCAAGAGCACCTAGGATTCCTTTTGCTTCCATCTGCATCTGCTCTAAAGTGTCTCAATTCAGTGTCACAGACACATATATAAGTTAGAATTGATGGGATCAAAGCCCTTTTAAATATTGTTCCAGAAAACTGATCTAAGGCTATCCAACGCTGAGATCGTGTCAATATTCTGAATCCCATCAAAGCTAGAATATTTCCCTTTCTTTTTTTCATGAATTAATTTCTTTCCTATAAAATATAATCATTGGTCTCAAGGTCTGTGCTATAAGCTTTATTTCTTTCCAGTGGTTTAGTGAAATTAGTGACCATGGAAAACAAGTTCAAACTGCATTACTATCACAGGTTAGAAAACTGACTGTCTTAGCTTAATGGAAAAAGAATGGGACAGGGAATCAGAAAATTTGTTTCTATTCCTGTCTTTGCAACTACACAGTGTAATGGAAATGAACCTGGCTTTGATTCATAATAGATATGGGTTCAAATCTTGACTCACGAGTTACTAGCTATGTTGTCTTGGGCAAGTCACTTATTTGCTTTCAGCCTCAGTTTCCTAATATGTAAAATAGAGATAGTAAAACTATATTGTACAATTGTTGTAAGAGTTAGAGGTAAATCGTCTGTGTGTGTGTAATGTTTAGAACAATTCCAAGCACATGTGGTAAGTTTTATAGTTAATGATAGCTGGCCTTGCATTTTTATCTCATTACAATGATGTGATTTACTAGGTAATTTCTAAGACTCCAAGAAAAGTCAACATCTCTTAAACGTGGCCCACAATGACAGATTTAAGTTTACTCGGCATAGAAATAACAATCCCCAAACATTCTGAAGTAAAATCAAAAAGTCAGGATATAGGTTCTCTTTTTCATCCTATCATTGTGTTCTAAACCATGACACCTGAAATAGATCAAAGTATTAACCATCTAAACTTTGCCAAAGTCATTGCTAGGTTTCGGTCATCACTGATGTCTATAAAAATCCTCCTCTGCATAATGACATACCAATACTAATCTTTTAATCTTCCATTTGCTCTGTTAGACCATATGAAATGTGTCCCAACCATACGGTAGAAAAGTTTAGTGCCTTACAATAGAATTGGTGACTGTGTACTATGCTCTGATGAACACCAAATCTAGCCCAAATGGACAGTATTCCCAGGACTGGAAGTAGTGATCGGGTGTAACAAAAGAACCAAAAGATGATTGCATCTCTAAAGTATCCCTGCTATGAGGGAAGGTTGAAGGAGTTGGTTTCTTTCTTACTGGAGAAGAGTTCCTTACTAACACCCAGAACCTTCTGAAATGATGAATAAGAGGATTCAGACTGATAACCTCTTCCAGGAGAATAAGATGGCCAAGAGAAGATTCAGTGAGCACCCCCAATACTGGAAGTACATGTCAGCTGGCTCTTGTTATCAGACCTACTTCTGCATTTCATTTTAGAAATGTAAATCCAGAGGTGATTAATCATACACTCCGTTAATCACTCCTTATTTTTAAAAACCATGGACTTTAAATTCAAATGAATGGGACTGAGGTTTTAGAGAACTGAGTTTTGGGTTAATAGAGTACTTTTATATTAGGTTATCAGAGTACTTTCCTGAAATTCTAAATTCTATTTTTTTTGGGGGGGGGCAGCTCTTTCAATTATTCATCAGACGTGTATAAACCCTTTTTCTTCTCATTAAAAAGAAATGGAGTTAGGTTGTAAAAAGTATAAACTTTACAATTCAAAACATGGATCAAGCGGCCCAGAATCTGAATTCGCATCAAGGATATTGACACAGAGGGAAGAGATAAGAAAAATATAAAGTAAACAAGATTTTGTAGATCAGTAATATTACTAAAGACAAAGGTTATTTCCAAAATTCAAAGTTAGCAGATCATTGTTCAGATCTTCTCTTTTTCTATGCTGAGATATCCTTGATGATCACAATAGTTTAATAAATAATTATAGTCCCTTACAATTAAATCATCTTCCACATCTTTCCAAACAATCTGTCATCCATTAGCTCTCATGACTTGTTTATGCAATGCAGTGACGCAGCAGAGTAGGTGTTACTGTCCTTTCCTTACCTGAGAAAAATGGCGCCATTAATAAACCTCAGAGTAGGAACTAGCTTGGATGGTAATACCAGCCTTGCCACTTTCTCACCTTTTACACCCTATGTGGCCATCGCATAACATTTCAGACAGTTCAAAGAGAATCCGGACGTTAACAGTGCTTTAAACTGGGTTCAACATTCTACTGCTAAGGTACTCCTTTATGTTTATCCCCTGCTCTCACATTCATACACACACACACAACCATAAACCCATAATGACAAAAAGAATTATGTTGTGACCATGACTGAAAAAGTATATGTCCTAACAGTTCTTAGAAGATGAATTAATTTCTTTTTTATTTTCCTAATTTTTAATTTCCTTTCCTAAAATTCTCATGTTTTCCCCCATTAATTTAACAGGTCTGTATTCTCCTTTTTTGAAAGATACTAACTGGAAAATAGCTTTTACCCCCCTTCTTATCTTGAAATGTCCCATTAACTGGTACCTTTACTCCTTCTCTGGGAGTTCCTTTCTGTTTGTCTAGAAAGGCTGAGAAACTATAAAGATAAGCATGTCATTTTATCTAAGAACAGGATGAGATGGGCATTCTTTGATCACTAAGCATACAGACCCTACTATTTATAGACATAATTGTTGCTTATGTTAGATTAGGATTAAGAAAACAGGAATGTTTTAATACCTAATTTTTAACTGTATTAAATTTTATGTATCAGGTTATATTTTGTTCTTAAATACAATATCCAGCTTCTCCCTACAGTTGATGCTACTGGAACTCCTATTCCATGACCCTACACTATCCATCACTTGAAAATTCTGTACATTCTCAAGTCTCCTAGGATTCATTCTGACTGTAGAAAACAAGTTTGTGGAGCTACAGTCCTTTGGAAAAAAAATCACAATGAATTAATTCTGAAGTAGCTAGTATAATGAGTTTTGGCAAAAAAGTAACGCATATTTTACAGTGAAATATTTTTATGTGTGTGTATATACAATAAGAAGAAAACTGTTAGATTTATAAGCAAAATTAGGAAAAGGTAGTATATATATATCTTTATTAAATTATTTGCAAAGAAATATAAAATTTGCTATCATTTATGGTACACTTACTAAGTGACAGGTACAACAATAAAGAGTTTCATTTTTTTCTTTTTTTACAGGTTAAAAAATGGAGGTTTGGTGAGATTCTATAACTTTTCCAAGGTCATACAGCCTGTAAGCAGTGGTCTTTGCAAATGATAACACTCAATGAAAATAAAGGCAGTGAAATCCAGAGTCCAAGCTCTAAAATAACACACACTGTAGTGACCATATTATTTACACCTATAACTAGTTTATCTCAGGCACTTCCTGTTATAGACTGAAACGTGTCCCTCCAAAATTCATATTTTTAAGTCTTAAACCCCAGTATTGCAGAATGTGACTGTGCTTGAGGAGAGGGCCTTTACAAAGGTGATTAAGTTAAAATGAGGCCATTTAGGGTTGAGCCCTAACCCAAACTGACTGGTGCCCTTATAGGAGGAAATTTGGATGTAGAGAGAGACACCAGGGATGCCTGTGCACAGTCACTTACACCAGGCCACATGGTTTGTAAGCAGTCAAGCTGTGGCTCACATCTAGGTTTTAAGACTTAAAAATTTCATTCAAACAAGTAGCAAGTTAAATAGCACCAACCATTGTGTCATACAACAATCTTGATTCACTAGACAGAAAAAAGCAGTGAGAATGAATAATAAATCAGAGAATCCTCAGGTATGGGACCAAATTACCAAAATGTGATTTAACAAGTTAAAAATATAAGTCCAAAGTTAGATGTTATGGTATTCCAATAGATTCTATAATACTCCACACATGAATACAACAAATATTTACTGAATGCATATAATTATCTGTTATCATGTGAGAGCCCAGCATTAAGCTTGTGAATAAAATAGATGTGGTCTCTAATCTCTAAGAAATTATACTCTAGTGGAAGAAGTAGAAAATAATCATACAAATCGTTGTTCACCTGACTCTGTGAAAATCTTTCAAAAATGATGTCCATAGAGTAAAACTAGCATATAATACAGATATTTGGCCTCTAGAAGGGAATTCCCTGATGATACTCTCAATTCTTAAAAAAATAAGCTGGGGTTAAAAAGGTGTATAGCCTTCAATCATCTGAAAAATTCAGTTAATCAAAATGAATCATTCCTTGTAGAAAATAAACTTATAGTTACCGGGGGGTAAAGGAGGGGAAGGGATAAATTGGAAGAGTGGGATTGACACGTACACACTACTGTATATAAAACAGATAACTCATAAGGACCTACTGCATAGCACAGGGAACTCTACCCAATACTCTGTAATGGTCTATATGGGAAAAGAATCTAGAAAAGAATGGGGGCTTCCCTGGTGGCGCAGTGCTTGGGAGTCCGCCTGCCGATGCAGGGGA